AAAAAAAAAAAAAAAAAAAAAAAAAAAAAAAAAAAAAAAAAAAAAAAAAAAAAAAAAAAAAAGTGAAAATGGGAATGGCATGGCTGAGGCGATCAGGAGAGAAGGCCATGGTTGGTGACGAAGTCAATGGTGGCGGGCTTCACCTCCGGGAAGCCGCTGCCGGACAAGGTGGGTGCGTCAGTACCGCCGCCCTGGTTGGGCTTGGGCTCAAGATGCCCCTCCGCCCCATACCCTTTTCTTTTGTACTCCTCCAAGTCTTTGTATTTCACGTACGGACTGCTCTCCAATGGCAGCAATTCTTCCACAGAATCCTTCTCTTCCTTCTCCCGCACCAATTGCTGCTGCTGTTGCTGCTCCTCCTCGCTATTCGACATTTTTCTATCCCTCTCTATCTGAACACACCCTTTTTTTCACCTCTTACTTATATGTGACTCCTTCAGAAAAACAAGCAGCTTTGTCCAAGTGTTTCCAAAAGTTCAGCTCCCACTTGACCCGCTCCCCCCCTCTGAGCCCCACAATCATTAGTCATCTACATTTCATTTGAATCATATCATATAATGCTAATTCCAACTATAATCATATTCAATATTGCTGAAGTTCATAACGAGGAATGATCCACGGTTGAAAACAAACATTTAATGCGGAAGGGACACGCGATGGAAGAAAAGCTGCGTGCCGGCGGCTGTCTGTTTCCGTGTCTATGAGTAAGCTTTTGTGCCCAGACAAATTTGGCTGGCTCTCCATCCTCCACACACAGCTTTCTATTACTTATCGTCTCTCCCAACTTCTCTGCCTCATATTCTTTCAAACCCCAATGCCCTCTTATCTGCTTCTCTTCTTCTCTTCTTCTTCCATCTGCACCACTTTTGGCTTCAACCTCATCAATGGCGACTGATCAGAACACGTCCCAAAGAAGGGATTCCAATACCCAGCTTCTCGATGAGCTCGAGGCCCTCAGCCAATCGCTCTACCAAAACCACATCTCCACTACGCGAAGAACAGCCTCGCTTGCTCTTCCTCGGAGCTCTCTTCCTTCTATTCCTTCTGCTGAAGATGTGGGCATCGCTAGAAACGACGACAGGCTCAACAGGCCCAAGTCCCGACGGATGTCTCTGTCGCCGTGGCGTTCTCGACCCAAGCTCAACGATGAGGATAAATCGCAAACGGAACCAAGCAGGGTATCTTCGAGTCAGCCGGAGGCAAGGAAGTTGGATGAAGCGGCGCCGGAGAAGAAGGGGATTTGGAATTGGAAGCCGATTCGAGCTCTCACCCTCCTTGGAATGCACAAGATGAGTTGCTTGTTCTCTGTTGAAGTGGTCACCGTTCAGGGCCTACCAGCCTCCATGAATGGGCTTCGACTTTCCGTTTGTGTGAGGAAGAAAGAGACCAAAGATGGAGCTGTCAATACAATGCCGTCTAGAGTTTCGCAAGGCGCTGCGGATTTCGAAGAGACATTGTTCCTCAAATGCCATGTTTATTGCACTCCTGGAAACCGAAAGCCTATGAAATTCGAGCCTCGTCCGTTTTGGATTTACGCTTTTGCTGTAGATGCTAAGGAGCTTGATTTCGGGAGAAATTCAGTGGATTTGAGTAAACTTATTGAAGAATCCACGGAGAAGAGTTACGAAGGAACGCGAGTTCGACAGTGGGACATTAGCTTTAATCTGGCGGGAAAAGCCAGAGGGGGAGAGCTCCTCGTTAAATTAGGATTTCAGATTATGGAGAAAGACGGAGGAATTGGTATTTACAATCAAGCACAGCCGATGGAATCGAAATCGGTAAAATCTTTCGGGAGAAAGCAATCGAAGACCTCATTCAGTGTTCTTAGTCCGAGATTAACCAGTCAAAGTGAAGCTTGGACTCCATCGCAAACAAGACCGTCGGCGGATCTTCCAGGAATGGATGACCTAAACTTAGATGAACCAGCGCCAATTCCGTCAACCTCGCCGCCTGTTCAGAAATCAGATGAACCGAAGATTGAAGATCTCGATCTTCCAGACTTTGAAGTTGTGGATAAAGGAGTAGAGATTCAGGAGGAAGAGGAAAAGGTGGAAAAAGAAGAATCCGAGAAATCAGTGGACGAAAAGTCGACTTCAAGCGAGGTAGTCAAGGAAGTGGTGCACGACCAGGCTCATTTGAATCGACTATCGGAACTCGATTCAATTGCGCAGCAAATAAAAGCTCTGGAATCCATGATGGGAGATGAAAACATTGGTAGAAATGATGAAGAATCCGATTCGCAGAGACTTGATGCTGAAGAAGAAAACGTAACGAAGGAATTTCTTCAGATGCTGGAGGAGGAAGATGGTACAGGCTCATACAACAACGGTAACAATGAATTCAGTTACCCTGAAATTCCTCCTCTCCAACTTGAAGAAACAGAGGATTCCATGGAGACTGAATCCAAATCATACCTTTCAGATCTTGGAAAGGGATTAGGCTGTGTTGTTCAAACCAAAGATGGAAGCTACTTAGCCGCAATGAATCCATTAAACACCCCAGTTTCAAGGAAGGAGACTCCAAAACTAGCGATGCAGATATCGAAACCAGTGATTTTAGCGTCCACACAGTCGCTGAGCGGGTTTGAATTGTTTCAAAGAATGGCCTGCAGTGGGGTAGAGGCACTGAGCTCAAAAGTAGTGGCATTAATGTCTTCGGATGAACTGATGGGAAAAACAGCAGAACAATTAGCATTTGAAGGAATTGCCTCAGCAATCATTCAAGGGAGAAACAAAGAAGGAGCAAGCTCCACCGCCGCCCGGGCTGTTGGTACTGTAAAAGCAATGGCGGCCGCATTGAGCACAGGAAGGAAGGAGAGGATTTCGACAGGAATATGGAACTTGAACGAAGCCCCTCTGACCATTGAAGAGATTCTAGCGTTCTCAATGCAGAAGCTGGAAGAAATGAGCGTCGAAGCCTTAAAAATCCAGGCGGAAATGGCGGAGGAAGAAGCCCCATTTGACGTCTCTGCTCTGAATGTGAAAATTGGGGGAAAAGATCAAAACCAATTCTACCCCCTGGACTCTGCAGTTCCCTTCGAAGATTGGATGAAGAAATTCAACTTCGCCGGATATGGAAACAAAAGGGAAGACCCAGAAGGCGTCACACTGGCGGTGGTGGTGCAGCTAAGAGACCCACTGAGGAGATACGAAGCAGTGGGAGGGCCTGTGTTGGGCCTGATCCATGCCGAAGAAGTAGAAATGGAAGACGAAAGAAGCAAATACGAAGAGGAAAGAAGATTCAAGGTGACGAGCTTGCACGTGGGAGGGTTGAAGGTGAGGAGGGGCGGAGGGAAGAGAAACGCCTGGGACAGTGAAAAGCAGATGCTGACGGCGATGCAGTGGCTGGTGGCGTATGGGATTGGGAAGGCGGCGAAGAAGGGAAGACATTTAGCATCCAAGGGCCCGGATTTGCTGTGGAGCTTGTCGTCGAGAGTAATGGCGGACATGTGGCTCAAACCTATACGAAACCCAGATGTAAAGTTTGCTAATTAGAACGGGCGGTTTCAATTCCGGCCAGTAGTACTTGCCTCGCCGCCGAGGCCCACACCGGAGACGGTGTCCGTCGAGTGTGTCGATATTTATTATTTCCGATATAATTGATTATAAGAGAGTAGTACATACATGTTGACTACGAAAACAGGAGGGATTGCATAGTTTGTTTTGTATTTAATTAAAGAATTCGAATAAATCGCCAAAAAAATCATTCAAAACAAATTTTTATTCCCCCTTTCTGCTGAAGAAACTCTTATATTCCCTCAATTCAATAAAGTACACTCTTTTTAAGAGTTTGTCTCCAAAGCCACAGGATGGTCCCAAGGAATCGAGCCTGCGTGCATTGCAACTACGCAGTGCCCCTCAGTAGCTAACTTCGTAATGCGCTTTGCAGATAAGATCGACAGCAAACTGCAAAAGCAAATCCTATTTACAGGAAACCTGCATGCATGTTAAACACACAAATTCAAAAACTTTGGAGAATGATACTAGACTTGTTTGGATTGGATCCACTTTCTAACTGCTTTAAAAAGTGTATCTAAACTTACCTCAGGATTTCTGTGCTTCATCAGATGAGGATTGAACCCCGAAAGAACTTGGGAGATGTCCCGAGTTCGGAGGCTTCGACTCTCCAGCTTCGTGGTCTGTAAAGCTTTGTTCTACTTGTTCATCAGAGTTGGGTTCCGACTTAACAGGTCTCTCAAAATCCTTCCCATTTCTAGGATCTATAAATAAATTATTCAGTTTCTGTTCCTGCAGAAAATGTAAATATAAATGTGTAAGGGTGACTCATAAGACAATGTAATGGACAGCCATCTACACCATCACTTGGTAACCATATCTAAATGGCATCATCACTGGAATAACTAATTTCATATTAATTTCCTTGATCGGGAAACTCAAGAACCGGGTAAAAGAAGGGAAATGAGAACAAAAAATCATCATTTATCGAACAAACTAATGATAAGAAATCAAAATGACAAATTTAATTAAGATTAAAATACTCACTACGCATCACAAGAAGAGAGGATTTCATTGTAGGTCACAGTGTGAAAACTAAAAACCAAATACCAAATGGTGATTGATTTCACTGAAGTAATGAAATCGCAAAAGGAGAGAGGAGCCCAACTAGCAAAGGAAGATATATTTAAAGAACACTTCAACCTGGAGAAAAAGAATTTAAAAAATAATTGCAATGGAGTTGCGCATAATTTTCATCACCAAATAATGAGTAACAAAAGTGAAAGAATCTCAAAAAAGGCAAAAGCATCTTAATCCTAAAAATCTCTTCAATTTTTTCTAACCATGTGGTCCCAGAAATGGCTCAAATAATTGAATCCAAGGAATCTTCCCCTTCTTGAAGTCGAAGGGATGTCCACTGAATGTGAAACGGATCAGACATAGAAGAAATAGATGAAATTCTTTTAACATCTTTTAGGAAGGGAATTGGCCGGTTAAAAGAGAGGACAGTATGGTAAACTCGCACAAAATGACAAAAGATGAAGAGATGGACAGGGCATTCGTTTTGCTACACAAAACACCATCTACCAGGGAGAGAACCGTGTTAGGTTGTCTACATGAACTTTTTGTGGGTCATCAATTCCATCATGGAACGAACATATTCACTCACCATTACCACGCAGCAAATGTTATATATGCATCTATCAACTGAAGGAAGAGCATGAAGACACGACAGAATCGAGTACAGAGTATCAGAGTTACTCACACCCTGGAGCGCTTCAAGCTTTCTCTGCAAAGCATCGTGCTCAGCTTGAATACGGAAGGGAACACCATGCTTTTGGTGCACATTGTTCTGGGCCAAGTCTTCATCAATATCACTAGATGTTGTTGCAAACGGATGGTTTGCAGGGATCCAACTGATTGTAGCAGGGTCAACATCCGGAGGAATTGAATCTCCTTCCTTAAGAAACATGGTTGGTCTCTTCCACTGATATGCCCGAGACCTCCGTTTCTGATGAATACTTTGTTCCTCCTTCGTAAGAGTAACCGGGGCCAACCGATAAACCTTTCCACACATTTCTACGGAAGAATTGCTTTTGTCAACCTTCACCAATGGATTGTTAAAGGGATCATTGTACTTTAAAGGTTTGGAACTGCAAAAAAATGGCGATAACAGAGGAAATTATAAGAAAATAATGGAAATAGGATATAACAAACATATGAGCATGTTCCAAGGACAAAGGTTCCAAAGACTTAAATCATACATGCCTCTTCTGTCAGATCTTAGCTGACCACGCCTGACTAGATCAGCCACTGATCCGGAATGACTGCTCCTGGATTTTCCCATCAAATACACTCTTGCAACTATTGCTAAACAAGCCGTCGCAATGCAAAACCCAATTGCAAGACCATTTCCAGTACATCTGTTCATCTAAGGCAGAATAGAACAAGAGAATAAGACACCCGTAACTCCAAAACAAAAGGCATGATTTGTGCTTAAGAGTTCATTCACTATAGTGTAGGGCTCAAAACAAAAGATACTATACATTTTCGCAAATTGTATATAATTCATTGCGTTCAGAACCTGCATTTGATTATATCAATTCCGTTGATATCATAAAACATTTGACCAAAATCATTCATGACGAAACACAGGTTGCACACGTAGCCCAAGAAGTATCAGTGTAATGATCCATGCCCATTCAGGAGACAGAACTCAATTGAATTGCGGTAAGAGGTTTAAATTGTGAACATAACAGAAAGAAGATAATCCTTGCAAACGCCATTCTCGAAAGTACAAAAAACTATAAAGAAGGAAGAGCCACAAACTCCTAATCAACCAGAAACTTACAAGGAAAACGCCTGGAGGCGACGAATAAATCATCTCCTGCAATTTCCCCTTGTAATCTCTGGAAGCTACACCACCAGTCCCACTCTTGACCATAATTTCATCATCTTCGACATTTCGTCCGGAATCAGTGCTCCCGGACCCCTCAGCCGAATTTATTAGAAATCTGCGACCAATTCGATGCCGATTCCGGTTAATGTTCAAATGACCATATCTAATGCCAGCGCATTTATAACCAATTCCAAGTTCGGATAAGCCGGACAGAACAAGAGGCTTTCGAACCCATACGTATGGCTGCACACATGATCTAGAAAGTTCATAAACATAGCAGAGAATATTTCCTGATAAAATCAAAAGAAGACAAGCGGAACGATTACCTGGAAAGAATAAGAATGAAACCGCAGAGTCCAACTGGATGCCATTACATGAGCAGGAAAACATACTGAAAGAAAGTAAGATGGGGAATCAGAATGTTGGAGACAGGAAAATGCACAGAGGTGCCATAGCAAATCAAGGATCCGGGGAGGATAGGGTTTTGCAAGAGTATCTTCGTTTCGGATCCAAATGACTCGATGAGAAATGCAAATGGATAAAATAAATTATATCTAATTATATTAAAAAATACAACAAGTCGGATCCGTGGCGCAATGGTAGCGCGTCTGACTCCAGATCAGAAGGTTGCGTGTTCGATTCACGTCGGGTTCACTTTTATGAATTTTTCTTCTTTTAATTAATAATTTCGGCTTAGATAAAAAAGTGAGTACATCTAAATGAGAGTGATATTGTGTATATCCAAAAAAAAAATTAAAATTTATTGCCTATGCCTATACCAACTTAGTGCATATTCATTTTTTATAGTATAATCGTAAGAACTCTAGATTAAATGTGTTTTGCTTATAACTTGAGTGACATCTTAAGAGTTTTTCTAGTTCGCAGGGCGAGTAGTCTTCACTCTTGAAACCGACAAACATATAACGTGTCTATGTTGTAGATGATACAAAGGAATGTTGGGCATGTGGTGTTAATGCTTTACACTAAATTTTACAAAATATCTACAAATTTTGTCTAGTTTTCAAAACACTCGTAATCTAATATTTTATAAATGTTTCAAAACTACACGTCAGAATATTAAAAATAGCGATGACATCATGTCTGTATAGTAATAATAATAATTTTTTTAAAATGTATTATGGATGAGCTTTAAAGAGCATGCATTGATGATATCTTGTTTTCCATACCATATCTCGGGATGTGACACAAAATTAATTTGTGTAGCCCTAGAATACTTAGGTTCGATATTCAATATTGATTTTATTTATTTTTAATCCAGTCCCTAAGAAATAATCAAGCCCATTGTGTGAAATATCACATAGTTTACATGTCATTGGGGTAAACTCTTATTTTAATTAATTATTTTTAAAGCTTAGTGTTATTTGTAAAGTCAACACATCCTGATTTGAAAAGAAAATGAATGAGATTTATTTTTTGGTTGAGTCTTTGCCACGTGTGCCATAATTGAATGACATGGTACCCATGTGGGTGGGGGTTTTCATTATTTTATTTTATTTTATTTTATTTTATTTTATTTTATTGGACTGCTGGAAATGCGATGGAATAATAAAATTGACTTTTGGACTTTTGTTTACAAAAACAAATATTTTAAGTTTTGACCTAACAAACGAAGTTTAGGTTATAATATTTGATAGTGTGGCGTTGGAGGACTAAAAAATAAATAAGTAAAAGTATGTTGCAGTTTAGGTTTTAAAAATAGGAATTAGTTAGTGGGTATAACTGCAATTTGTTTGCATTACATATATAAATATATATAATCCATTCATTCACAGTTTGTGTTTGAAGGAAGATTAAGAGCAAAGTTAGCCCCCCATAATGCAATTCCAGCCAATTCTTTACCATTTCTGGCTAACTCATACGACCAATTTCTCTATTGGGATGTAGCCCCATTTCACGCCCAGGATCTAACTTCACTTCACAAAAAATTAAGAGACTAACAAAATCGATCCAAAATTATACTATCCATTTCAGATGGATGCATTTAACTGAAAATTATGAAAACCCATAGAAAAATATGAATATTTCAATTACCGCTAATAATTGATTAAGTGAAAAGTACAATAAATTCACAAAAATTAAGACAATCAAACAGATATAGGTTGTATGTACATAGCACCTTCGTGGAGAGATTAAAAAAAAAAGTGCTAAATTTTGTGGGCCAATAAAAAGATATATTTGAAAAATGATGCGTAGATTAAAAGTTAGTTTAAAATATTTAATTTGACAGGTAAAAAGCTGGCGAAAAATTCCAGTTTCTTGTCAAAAAAAAAAAAAAAAAAAAAA